AAAATACTCCCAAATTTTGGAATTATTCTAATTATACCCTTAAATTTTGAAAATTTTATTTCAAAATAGCCCTTGAAAATTTTTTTTATTTCAATTATACCCTTAAATTATAATAAATTTTATTATAATTTATTCTAAATAATTTGATGACTTGTCATCGAGTATTTATTGTGGGGCCCAAAACAACTCCCTTTTGAAAAAAAAAATAATTTATTTTATTAATTAAATCATGGTTCCCTTTTTGCGCGGTTTTTTTAAAAAAAATTATTTATTTATTTTATTTTTGGAAATTGCCCTTTTCCTACAATCTTATCCACTTATCCAAACTGTTTCATTTTTACTCTTCACAATTGAAATTACAAAAATGCCCTTTTGGATTGGCTTACACGTGGCACACATACAGAGGCTGAGTCTGAATGCTGAGTCATCTCTCAGTCAGGCTGTCTCCTTTTTTTTCTTTTCCTTTTAAAATTATTATTATTATTAATATTAATTGAATTCAATTTGCTTCCGTAGAATCTTATGATCGGCTGGCTTGGCTGATAGCGCCACCCACAGCCGTAGCTTCCTGAATGGATAACACAGTTTTTCGTACGGACAAACTATTTGTTGATATTTTCTTTAATATAAAATTGTTTTTTTTATAATAATTTTAGTTAAATTAAATATTGCCTCTATTTTAATCAATATAATTTTAATATATATATATATATATATATATATATATATATATTTCTAAACATATTTTGATTATATATGATATTTAATTTAAAACGTGACTATTTTGATTAGTATACGTAAATTTATTGATATTGAAAAAAATAATATAAAACACGAGATAAGACAAAATGTTTCCTTTTAAAATCACGACCAATAATTTGTTTGAATTGACTTTTTGAGTTTTTAATTTCTTTTTGCATTTAAAAAAAATTGATCATAAAAATGTTTCAAAACTATAAATATTAAAAGTTCAAAAAAATTAAAAATCATTAAATTAAAATTTTGATTTTTCAAATTTAGTTAAGAAGGAATGTTCTAAAATGATAATAATAAAAAGATGTTATAAAAGGGGTTTTATATTTTTATTTTTTCCCAAATTTGGAAGATATTATTATAATTTTGTGGGGCTATTAATTAATGTCATTAATTAATTCAGATTTAGATGTTGGTGTGACACCATTTATATTCAACCACTTCAAAATGGAATTAAATTTTTTAGTGAACAGTCCTAGTTTTGTATTTATTTCAATTTTAAAATATTTTTATAAATTTTTATAAATCCTTTTAAATTAATTGATTATTAAATTCAAATTTTGATTTTTTTTTTGTGCAAAAAAATCCATAAGTTCTCCGTATAAAATTTTATTAAAACACGAAATAAAAAAAATTAAGAATTTAATTTGAGAATTTATAAAATTCAAATTTCTATTAAAAACTTATTAAAAATTAAAAAAACGAGAGAAATAGAAAGATGAGAGGAAATTTGTCACCACTGAGATTGACGGCACGTGTAGCAAATTGGCACGAATTTCACGTGTGGGAAAAATAAATATTTATTTTAAAAAATTAAATTTTAAAATTCGAGATATTATTATCTCGTAAACTTAAACACCTATCTTACATTGAATTTCTAGTGCTTTCCTAGGTGAGATTTTTACGTTCATTATTTAATTATAATTAATTATAATTAATTATTAAATATCAATATATTACTCAGATTTAATAAATTTTAATTAACAGATTTATTAACTATTTAATATAAACATTTCCATAAATTAAATTATAAATTAATGTTTAATGTAAACATATTCATTTATTTTTATTTTATTTTATTAATTAATCAATATGATAATATATTGAATAATACTAAATTTAATTTTATTGAAAGTCTCTTATTTTATATTTACTTGAGTTGAATAAGATAAAATCGAGAGTTGATGGAGTTGAATAAGATTTGACCAAATGAATACAAAAGTCAAAGGTTTTATTATCGAGAAAGTCAACTCACTCATTTTTAGAATGTATTTATAGTTCCTTTTAAGGGCTTAATGTAAACATATAAAAAATATATTTTTATATCGAGAGAGACAAAATATTTGAATTCTTGACCTGTTCATCGAAGGTATTTACCTTAATTTGTAAGTAAATTATGCTCGGGTTGACAATAATAACACGTTCAATCCATAGCACTAATCCCAAGCATAGTCCCGATGTATACTCTAAGATAACACGTTTTTGATATAAGATATCTCATTTAACCTAACAAAAACAACACCAAATTTTACACTATCTAGGAAGATTTAAAATTGAAAAGGCTGTATTTATTTATTTATTGTTCTCAATTGGATCCCCTTGGAAGCCTCAAAGCAGAGAGCACAGCAAGAGAGAGAAACGACGTCGCTCCAAGCAGTGAGAGGAGAAGGGAAGCAGCTCCTTGGCCACAGAATCTTCCAAAGACATCGCAAATTTTATTCCAATTAAGATGTGAATTCCCTTTCAGGCCGATGACACCGACGGCGCGGCGGCTCCGAAGCCGGAAAACAGCAGCGCCACCGTCAGAAGGTCCATCACGGTGATCGCCGATCTTATAAAGCTTCTTCTGCCTTTGCCTTTGTTTACGGCCGAAAGAACCAGCGAGAAGGCTGCGTATGAACATGCTATTGCGTTTACCACCACAAAATACCTAAATAAAAAAGGAAAAAAAAATCCATTTATTACTACAAATCACTATTGGTTAGTAATTCATACCTAATACAAAATCACCTAAATAAAATTATTATTCTCACGTATTTAAGAAAATAATAAATTTTAAAATTAAATTTAATTCATACAATTATTAGTTTTATTTTTTTTATTAATTTTTTTTTACAAAAATTTAAAATTTTTATTCACCATATTTAATAACCTAAATTCTCCTATTTCGATCCCATCTCGGGAGGGGATTTTTTCATTATATATATATTCCTTAAAAAATTTAATGATAATTTATAATTTTTAATATCATTTGTATTAAAAAAAAAATATAGTATGAAATTCAATAATATATATATATAAATTCGTTAAAAAATTTAATGATAATTTATAATTTTAAATATCATTTGTATTAAAAAATAAAATATAGTATGAAATTCAATAATATTTTATAGGATCTTTAACATAATTTCAAAAAACTCAAATTTAATATTAAAACATAATATTCCGCCATTATTTTTTATTTATTTACTAAGAAAAAATATACGTAATTTTGTACCATAATTTTGATATATATATATAAAAAGTGAGCAGAATATATATATATATATATATATATATATATATATTTATTTATTTATTTATGTCTACACCTATCCCAATTTCATGGATTAAATAGACATTCAATGAAAATGAAATATCAAAAAAATAATATTAAACGAAAAAACAAAATTTAACTATTTTTTCTTTTAGGAAATGACCAGAGAATCTTTCAAATAGCAAGGGGTAGGCTTTAAATTTATGAATATTGAGAAATATTAAAAAAAAACATTATTAAATAATTAAAATGACAAATATATATATATATATTATCTTGAGTTTTAGAAAAGAAGAATCCACTAGAAAGTAAAGCTTACACGAAGGCAGATGAATAATGCCATCGTGCAGTAACAGGAATGCGCAGCGGCGGCAACGCGGCGGTGAGTTGAAGCGACACCGTTTTCGCCTGCTTATCGACGCCGATAACGATAGCAGCAGCCAAAGTCAAAATCATCGCCACAAATCTCAAAATCAAATCACAAAACCTAGCCGTCGTCGTCTCCGATCCGTCCGATACGCCGAATCCGGCCTTCCTCTGGCCGTCCATTGGCAGTTAATTCGCTTCCTGCAGTAAAAATTCGTAGATCGAAGAGAAATTGATGTCGAAATTGGAGAATGTGAGGAGGAAACATATTCATAGGCGATGGAATTGCAGAAGGCGTTGAAATTAGGGCTTGGAATTGGATGCGTTGGAAGGCATTGAAGGCGCCACATAGTGCAGAAAGAAGGAAAGGAAACGTGAGGGAGTGGTAGTATTGGTACTTGATCTGCGTTGTCTCGTTCTGAGATTTCGATTCCTGCCAATTTTGCAGAGCGTTTGAAATTTGGCGCCATTGTTGACTGCTTGCTGAATTTATGAATCCATCTCCTTTTATGGTGAACCGTTCCTTTCTCTTCTCCGTCTATCGAGAATTTGTTTGACTTTTTAGGTGAAATTACGGCTTTGTCCTTACCTTTTAGATTTAGATTATAAATAATTGTGAATTTTATATTATTTAAATTATTTTTAACAATTTTATTACATTAATTATCTTTATTGGTTAATTTATTTTTATTTAGTTAAATTATTTATTCTTTATAAGACACTCAAATGTGTTTTACAAGTAAATGTTAATTTAATGTTTGAAAAATATATAAATCCATGTAACTCAGACCAATTTAAACTAGACTGTTTACATTTTGGTCGGTAAGGACGGCTCAAATTATGTCTAAAACTTTAGTATAATTTATGAGAATTTCCAATATAATTTAAATTTATTTAAATATATATAAAATACTAAATTAATAAAAATAATTTTAAACTTTTAATTCTATCTCAAAAATATTTATAGACTTAAAAAAAATGTTAATAATATCTTAAACTTAACAAATATATATATATATATATATAATTAATTTTAGATGGAAATTATAAATATTAAAAAAAAGTCTAAAAAATATCGTTATTAGTATTAAATAGAAAATTTTAATAGTTTTATTAACTCTTCAATTTTTTTAAAAATTTCAAATATTTCTAAAACATTCTTAAAATTAAAAGTTATTTTCTAAACGTTTTTTTTTTTAATTTAAGGATATTTTAAAAATAAAATATTAATTATTTCCACGATAAAAGCATTTTAAAACCGTTTTGAAAATTCTATATTTAATTTTTTATAAAAAATTTAAAGATATTATTAAAAAATAAAAAATAAAACTCTCTCCATTATCTTAGCCGCACATCACCACCATTCCCCTTTGCCTCTTTCCGGATCGACACAGTACGGCAATTATCTTCTACCTCGAGGAGCACGCCTGAATTCGCATGGAAGCGATTACCTGCTTCTCTTCTTGCGGACCTCACACTCCACTTGTTCACTTCTCCAGGTCGCAGCCGCGATCTTCCTGTTCCTTGGAGCACCTCACTTCCAGACGCTTCAATTTGTACGTCAGACACCTCAATTCCAGAATTGGACGCCCTAAAATGGCTGCTCCTCTTCAAGTTTTTGCATCTTCGACCACTGGTTCGTCATTGCAATTGAACAGGTAATTAATTTCATTCGTCTACGAACATTGTGATTGATCTTCAGTTTTGCAATGAAGGTGCTTCCGAGGAGAGATTGGGGACTTCCACGTCTGGTCTGATTGGAGCGCATGATTTGCTTATAATCGGTCCAGGAGTTCTTGGCCGGTTAGTGGCGCAGAAATGGCGGGAGGTATTAATAGCAATTGAATCTCTGAGATATTGGGGGATTTTAGCTCTAGGCGTACTTGTTTCACGATTACATTCATAACAGGATCTTGCTGCTCGTGTAAATTGAGCAGGAACATCCGGGATGTGAAGTTCATGGGCAGACTGTCACAGTGGATCACCATGACGAGTTGATCCAATTAGGGATTCAACCCTCTTTGAAGGGAGGCGATGCGGCTCGTCGTTTTCCTTATGTGATTTTCTGCGCTCCTCCCTCCCGAACAGCGGACTATCCCGGTGAAGTCAGGTGATTAGAAAACATGGAATTCATTGGAAATACATGACAGGAATGATATTCAATTTGTTTTATCTTTCAAATTTTATGAGCTTCCTATTATCTTCTTGAAGGAACTGCAGCTTTATTCTTAGCAGATTGTCTCGAACCGATTCCCCATCCAAACTCCAAAATTTGATGAATATGAATATGAAAATTCAATGACCCATTAGACAATTTCAAACTTGTCTTTTAAACTTTATTTGATTTTGCTTTACAAGGTAATGTCTGTTTTTGAAACATGGTGAAGGAGAGATTCAAGTTCTACATGTACTTCCCAAATATCTTTTGTGAGATCCCACGTTAGTTGGAGAAGGAACAAAGCATTCCTTAAAAAGTGTGGAAACTTCTCCTTAGTAGACGTATTTAGAAACCTCGAGGGAAAGTCCGAAAGGGAAAGCCAAAGCAGACAATATTTGATAGTGGTGGGCTTGGACTGATGTTGTGTTTATCATTAAAAATATTTTGTTTGATTGATCAATCAGACTGGCTACATCAAGTTGGAATGGTGAGGGTTCCTTTCTTTTTACTTCAAGTTCCGCACCATATGATTGCAATGACAATGGACCATGTGATGAGGTGGGTATCACTTATCTTACAACCTTTCCTTTATATTGGAATAATGTTGAACAGAAGTTTTCTCTGATTCATGGATACAGGACAGTCCAGTCGTACCAATCGGGAGGAGCCCTAGGACCGATGTCCTCCTGAAATCAGAAAAGGTAGTAATCGAGGTTGGTGGTTGCGTTCTTCGATTGGCTGGACTCTACAAAGCAGATAGAGGGGCACATTCTTATTGGTTAGAGAAGGGGACAGTTGATCTGCGTCCTGATCATATCCTGAATCTTATTCATTATGAGGTTTGGAAATGTTCATTTATTTGTTATTATTCTGCTTATGGAAGTTCAATTATCTTTTAAAACCATGACTTAGTTACTCCTCTTGGCTCTCTCTGCATATATAATTAGATTCAATATAAGATTACATGGAAAGGTTAGAGGATAAAAGAACCAAGTATATGAATTATTTGGAATCTCCAAGTGTTTTCACTCAAGCCCGAACCATTTAAACATACAGAACTACACTGTATATCTTGTTGGTCTCACAGATGATTCTGAAATGTCTTTGAACTTCCCATTCATCACTGTTACTATTTTCCCTTGAGTGACAAATTTGATTCATTAATGCACTAATTTATTTCCGCAACTGCATTGATTCTTATTCCTTTTCCACTTTTTATCATTCCATTCCTTTCTAACGAACTGGGCATCTCCTTGAGTGATGATGAAATTTATATTTCTCTATCACTATTCTCATGTAGTTCGTGAAGTTGGATAATTTGTAATTTGAGAATTTGACATGGCTGATTGTGAAATCCCACATCGGTTGGAGAGGGGAACGAAACATTCCTTATAAAGGTGTGGAAACCTCTCCCTAGTAAACGCGTTTTAAAACTTTGAGGTTGACGTCGATACGTAAGGGGCCAAAACGGACAATGTTCGTTAGCGGTGGTCTTGTGCTGTTACAAATGGTATTAGAGCCAAACACATCGTACCAATCGGTTGCCAGCGAGGATGCTGGGCCCCCAAGGGGGTGGATTGTGAGATCCCACATCGGTTGAAGAGGGAAACGAAACATTCATCATAAGGGTGTGGAAACCTCTTCCAAGTAGACGCGTTTTAAAACCGTGAGACTGACGGCGATATGTAACGGGCTAAAGCGGACAATATCTGTTAGCGGTGGGCTTGTGTTGTTACACTGATTCTCTTATTTATCATGCACCCCTTAGTTGTGCTTTTATCGAGCAGGATGCTGCTTCTCTCTCCGTGGCTATTCTTAAGAAAAAACTTCGTGGACGGATTTTCTTAGGTTGTGATAATCATCCTTTGTCCAGGTTAATCCTTCTTCTACTGCTAGTTGAAGATAAACATCCCCAATACTTCAAAACTTTAGAATTAAAGCAGTGGAAGGAAAGAAATTTGATTAGAACTATCTCATGATCCCAGGCAAGAAATCATGGACCTGATGATGAAGAGTGGGAAGTTCAGTAAAAAGTTCGAAGGCTTTACTGGTAAAGCCTTTCTTTTACTCCTTTTATTGTGTTTTGCATGCTTATATGACTCAGAAAAAGGCTTCTACTAATCTTATGCATTATTTACCCTTCTTTTACTACTTTCACCATAGCTGCACTTCATCTTGTGATGCTCTGATATCCATGATTATAGATGAATGACATGAATTTGCAGGAACCAAGGATCCTTTAGGAAAGAGATTGAACAACTCGAAGACTCGAGCAGAAATAGGCTGGGAGCCAAAGTACCCGAGTTTTGGTCAGTTCCTTGAAACCATTTAAATCAAATGCTGCTTCTGCTTGTGCCTCGATTGACAGGTGAGTTACAAAAAACTAGCTTTAAGAATTCAATAGATCTGGTTTTGGAAGTCAACACATCCTTGAGCTTTTGCATTTTTTTGATCTCTGTTATTTTGTTTCGAATTGGAAAATGGATCGGTACATTCGTAAATTCGAGTCGATTGAAGCATATCACGACTGTGTTTAAACATTTGAGTAGTGAATACAGAGTATTTGTAGAGAATTGATCATTGAACAACATACTTTCTGGTGGATAAAGCTCAAAGTGAAGGTCTTTTGTTATGGCTACGGCTTCTACTTCCCTTTCAATTACATGTGAGTACTCTGACTAGAAGTGATGAACATTTTTTTTTCTTCTTAAAAATGATTTCCAAAAAATATTTAGATTTATTTGATTTAAAATCATTCTAAATCGTGTGTTTAAAGATTTAAAATCTGTCACAAATAGTATGATAAGTTTGTTCGAGACAGTATAGTTCAATAGATATATTTGTTGACAAGTCAATCCTCATCTCGAATGGTCGAACTAATAGTTGTTCTCGCTTCTACTTTCATCGTTATCATCTCAAGTAGTTTTCACGATGATTCGGTGAGATGACAATTTATTTTAATATGATTTGTCTTACTTATCACATCATTTGTGCTATTGTTCACATTTTGTCCGACTCTCTTTGGCTGAAGATATGTCTCTTGAGTTGTTTCTTTCTCTCGACGAAATTTTTATATTTAAGTGTCAAATAGGCAACATCTTCTTCACGAAGGATTTCCTCATCTTCGGAGTCAACTTCTAAGATGGTCTTTGAAACAATAATCTCATGTGTCACGAGGAAACCGATGAATTCTTCCAAAGTAAGTTTTGTAAGATCCTTTGCATTTTGAATATCCGTCACTTTTGTCTCCCAATTTTTAGGTAGAGACGTAAGAATTTTCGAGACATTTTCGGAGGCAGTATAAATTTTGCCAAGTTTTTTCAAAGAATTTATAATATTAATAAATCTAGTAAACATTTCCTCAATAGACTCATGTATATCCATTTTAAAGTGTTCGTAATTATGAACTAACATGCTAATTTGTGTTTCTTTAATTTGATTTGTTTTCTCGTGAATTAATTCAAGAGTTTTCCAAATTTCACTTGCAGAAGAACACATCAATACTCTATTAAATTCATCATTACTCAAAGCACAATACAAATAATGTATAGCTCTAGCATTAAGAGAACATTTTTTCATATCATACTCATCGAATTCATCTTCTAATTTAGGCACTTTAGTATTATTAACATTTTTCATTGGAACGTAAGGACCTTTAACGACATTTAACCATAAACTATAATCAATTGATTGTAAATAAATTTTCATTCTAATCTTCCAATAACCATAATTTGAACCATCAAAATAAGGAGGTCTAGAGGTAGATTCTTCTTCAATAATATCACGGGTGACTCCTAAATTTGTCATAAGCTCAAACAATAATGTTTATATAAAAAAAAAAATAAGTCTACACAAACAAGCTCGATACCAATTGTTTGAAATATTATAAAAAAAATTTCAAATAATTTTATACGCAATAAATTACAATAATAATTTATATATTAAAAAAAAATAGAGTTAGAGAAAATAATACCCAATAATAATTTCTATATTAAAAAAAAATAGATTCAGAGAAAATAATACCGTAATTTGGTTTACTCCACTTTCAAGCACGAAGAAGAAAATTGAAAAGTTTGGAGAGAATGAAAGAGGTAGAAATGTGTTGTGTAAAAGGGAGAAGATTGATTTAAATAGGAAGTAACAAAAATCATAATTGAATTTAGATCATTGGATTGAATTAAAAAAACAAATGACCGGTGAAGATTAAAAGTAAATAATAATATTATAATAATAAATTCTATGACTAACGGTCAAATTTTATATATTATTTTATTTAATCTAAACGTCCAACGGGCCAACGGCAACCTGCTTTTGCAGACTGTCCTTTCTTATTTTTATTTTATTTTTCAAATTAATTACTATATTTTAATTATTTTTCTTTAAATATTAAAAAAATTCCAAATCTCCACCTGTGATCTATAAGGGCAATAAAGTATTTTCAATTCAATCTCATTTACGGTCGGAATTTTAACTTCAATTTAAATAATTTAAAAGGGGTTGAAATCATTATTTTAAATTATGCCACTCTTAGAATATTATATTTATAAATAATTAAGGTAGATTTATTATCATCGAAACATTAATTAATTAGTTTTAAACTAAAAAATAGAAAAAACGGGTTAAAAAAGATTAGGGTACGTATGAGGAGGCTATTTACGTAATTTCAACTACCCCAACTAGGTTGGCCGGGCAAGTTATGCAACTTGAAGGCCCATTAAAGGCCCAACCCAGAAATACGCGGGAACTCACAGCTTCTTTTTATTGGCGGGGAAATTATGGAACCACGTAACGAATCGTTCCGAGCCACACATCTCCGTTGATTTCAATCCAAGGGCCATAAAACATTCATGTTGTCAAGAAGTCGGGTCACTACCCTTTCACGGACTCTATTCTGAAACTCCCCGGCGTCCGAGAAAAAGCTATGGCAAAACACTTGTAGCGACAGGCGTCTTCCGATGAAGGTTAGTCCAATGGTTCGAGATCGTCGGAGGAAGAGGAACCAACAAGCGAGTAGATCAATGAGGAGCTCGAAGCGATCGCTCGTTTGGCAGGCTCCGATGAGGATGAATCTGCCGACGATTCAGGTAACGATACATTACCTGTCGAAAATGGCTAGGAAGAGGTAAATTTTGAATTGATTTCCACAACATACGGAATTTATTTGTGTTAATTTAGTCGGATCTCTCGGCAGGGATTTGATTTTTAAATTTCCTGTTACGAAGGTTAGATGGACTAGGTTTTGACGATTTTTTTCCCGTCATTTTGTACATTTGCAAATTCGAGGAAAGAGAGGACTGACGAGTTGAGCCTATGGTGGCAGTGTTGAACACAAATAGTATCGTTCTACAGCGTCATGAACGTGTTTCATGCTTCTTTAGATTTCTTGTCACTTCTAATATACTTTTGCCTTGTTTGATTCTCCATTTGGGCAAAGTGCCATTAGAATCTTCCTTTATTTTACTCTTACCAACAATCTCCTAAAAGTTTTGTTCTTGTAAATAGGACATCAGGCATGTTATCCACTTGTTATAATTGTTGAGTTTCTTTATTCCTCAAATAATTTGGAAATTGTGTTGTTTATACTTCAGTAATAACAAACAAGCTCTTTCGACATAATACTTGTAGAGTCACGGACTACTCACGACACAAAAGAAACTCACTCACTGATAATATCAGGAAATTCAAAACATAAAGTGTAGTAGTATGTACAGAGTGTCTTGTAATCTCTTCTTGATTGGTGTTAATAAAGAGTGCAAGTGATTCCCTCAAACAGTTATGTTTAACAATTTGCTATCAGAGCCATGTTAGTGTAGGTTGTTTGATGTCTTGGAATTCTTAGAGCCATGTTAGTGTAGGTTGTTTGATCTCTTTGAAAATTCTTAGTATGCTCTGTGGTTGGTTGCAGCTCTGTCTAATCTTACATATCATAACGATTTCTTGAGATTATTAGTCAGTCAGTTTCTTTTGTGTCATGAGTAGTTCGTGACTCTGCATGTTTTATGTCGAAAGAACTTGTTTGGTATTACAAGGTATAATCAACACTATGAGTGATTTCCAAATCGTGGAGGCTCTGTCTAATCTTTCACATCATAACGATTTCTTGAAATTATTAGTGAGTCAGTTTCTTTTGTGTCGCGAGTAGTCCGTGACTCTGCATATTTTGTGTCGAAAGAATTTGTTTGGTATCACTGAAGTATAATCAACACTATGGATGATTTTCAAATCGTTGGAGGAATCAAGAAACTCAACAACAACATGTACTTCACACAACTCTTCGTGGGAAACACATCAATGATTGTTTTGTTGAAACGTTTTTAGAACGTGTCTGCTAGGGAAAGGTTTCCACACCCTTATAAAGAATATTATGTTCTCCTCCGAACCGATGTGTGATCTCACAATCCACCCCCTTTAGGACCCATCGTCCTCATTGGCACTCGTTCCCCTACAATCGATATGGGATCTCATAGAAACTTTGTTCTCTGGGCATGATCACATTTCCCTCTTTTCGTACATAAGCACATTTTTCATTTTTAGTTTTAAGTATGAATTGCTTGACATTTTCTTGCCTCCCATGCAACATGATCTTTCGCTTTTTAGAGTGAAGACTATTCCACACATTAGCACAAGTTTTTCCGGCATACTTTGTCCTTACATGCATTCTAGGAAGATTTGCAAGAGGTTACCCAACATAGAATTATAATATGGAAAGCACCCTAATCATAAAATTCTTATGATTGAGCCACTGAAAAGGAAGGTACACTTTGTTGGTATAGGTATCAACTTTCAATTCTTTTTAAGTTTTTCTTAGCTATCATAACCTTTGGATCTTTCTCATTCAAATATAATTTCGATTTATTCATATACCTCTTCTTTATTCAGGTGTTATAATTTCACGGTAAATATGCAATTATATTTATTTCCGGTTGATATTTAAGATCTCTTACAAGTTTCCTATGGTTACTATTTCTTTAAGACAGTTGATACATTAGTCAGTGTGCTAATAAATGGTGCTTTTCCATTAGGGGCTTGGCAAGACATTACTAACCATCTCCTTGTTGGGCTAGCCGCTACAGGGGCATAACAGGCCCCAAAATCTACACTAAAACACTGGAGTGTTTGATGAAAGTGTCCCACATTGGTTAATTTAGGGAATGGTCATGGGTTTATAATCTAAGAATACACTCTCCATTGGTGTGAGACCTTTTGGGGAAGTCCAATGCAAAGTCATGAGAGCTTATGCTCAAAGTGGACAATATCATACCATTGTGAAGAGTCGTGTTCGTCTAACATGGTATCAGAGCCATGCCCTAAACATAGATTTGCATAATCATGCTCGTGTAGAATGAGTACTTCTAGAAGATTAGAGTTGGAGTCCTACACTGACTAATTAATGGGAAGATTATAGGTATACGAGCAAGAAATCCATAGGTATGAGAGTTTTTTTTTTTTTTTTTTTGAAGAAATTAAAAGTAAAACTACAAAAATTAATGTTCAAAGTGGACAATATCATATCAATATGAAAGGTCGTTTGTTTATTGTGGTACCAGAGTTATGCCCTTATCTTGAAAAATCTTCAGGTGTCCGATAAAGAAGTTGACAATGTCATTCCAATGCCGAGTATTGTTGTTCCTA